CAAGATCCTTGCGCCAGTAAATAAGTTCAAGATGAAACATTTCTTATTACATCCATATTTCTAGATATCATTTTTACCTATTATTGATGTTTGAGTCATTTTCTTTCTTTGGTTGTACTACTGATATTTTGTGTTTTTACTCTTCAGTGCTTGAGTCTTATTCTCCTACCTGAGGTCGATGCTCCACAACTTGGTCTGTTAGGCCAATATTCTGTTAGCGATGATTTCGCCTCTTTTCTTTCGGTTCTTGATAAGCTATGGAATTTGTTATGCTGCCTCCAAGATTCTGCAGTTACTTCTTCTTCATCTTCGTCCTCATCTTCTTCGCCTTCCTCGTTGGAATCTGGCGCTGCCGGTCTAAGTACTGCTCAAGTAGAAGCCTGGTTCCACTCAATGTTGCATGCAATACTTCTCTTGGCTGTTTCCGATACTGAAAATGATGGCTGCATGAATGTGTTCAGGGGCACCAACATTCACGAAAATGACGAAACAGGCAATACCTCTGAGAAACTTGGCAATACGAGTGAGGATAATAGGACTGAGTGTGATCTAACTGCTGGCCTGTCTTCTGGTTCCAATCTATTGCATCCGGTGGCTCTTGATTCCTCTTCTACCATCCTTCCCTCTCATTATTGTCACTCCAAATCTGCCTCTTGCCAGTCGGGGCAAACTAGAGATGCTTCTTTAACGATAGTCCGATCGCGTAGATGGTGGCGCTGGTGGTGGTGGTGCCAACCATATTCCTTCAACGGCACATCTTTTGATGTCATTTCTTCAGCGCCTTCCGCTTTAGCTTGGTCATATCTAGCCAACCTGCATCAGCTTCTAGCTGAGGAAGCTGCTCGGCCTGCAGAACTACTTATCATGCTACCGTTGCTAGCTTGCATCCAAGTTGAGACTATGCCACCTATTATATCTGCTTGTCTGACTCAGTTGAATAAGGTTTCTCGTCGATTCGACTTTATAGTGAGCCTATTTAATCTCTATCAAGTTTTTTTCCTTGTCTCTATTGATGAAAAATTCGTTTTTATCAAATTATGATATATATCCTCATTATATATAAGGTTACTTATTTCACAAAATTTTCTTAACTGCTACATTATACTTCTTTAAATTATTTACTTGCATTTAATCTACTAAATGTTTTTTTCTAATTCTCTGAGGTTTACAATTACTTAATAGGGATATCTTGTTTACTAAATAAATATCTTGAATCATTCGCAAATCCATACTCACATTCCATTTGGGGATTATATACCTTTTCTCCTACCTTTATACGTCCGTACTACTAATGTACTGTCGTTTTCTTGGGGAATTTGGTGTCTTACTAATTATTTTACAGTCATATACATACAAATACCACTTTGCACCGTGTCATTCAAACCTTCGTTCCTCGAAAAAAAACAATATAAGAAGACCATACCCGAGGCCACAACATCTTGGTCTTCACATCTTCAATATAAGAAGTCGTTTGACCTTTTTCTCGCAACTTGGTCATATTGGTTGGAAGACCTAGAGGAACACACCTAGTCCGGAGTCCATAGTATGCATGAATATTTCCAGAGTCGATTGACGGTCTGTGAGCGTCTAGGAATGCACCATGTCCACTGTATGACTCTGAAAATTATAATGCATACTGTGGAATCCGGACAAAGTGCGTTCATCTAGGCCTTCCTGCCAATATGAGCAAGTTGCGAAAACAAGGGCAAACAACTCCTATACAACGAAAGGAGACTTTAATCACACAAAGGGCACACCATCTTGGTCTTCATAGACCCGATTAAAAATAATAAGGATGAGTCTTGTATGGTTCTTCATTTCTTTTACTGTCCCCTACTTTTCACTTATTCGAACTACTTTTTATAAATTCAATCTTATAATCTCTATGTTCTGTGTCCTTTTCTTTTTAACCCATAGTCGTGGAGGCCTTTACTTACTAGGCTGTCTAATTTCTTGACGCGTGGTCCTTATGCTCTTCGTGCTATTTTCTCGCAAGAACTGGCTCTGCCGAGTACCTATTATGGAGATATACCCTCACCGATATCAAGCACTACGTGCCTAGAACTTTTATCAGAAATGTTCGTAAGATATTTAGATTACTATTGCGCATCGCTAGGAGCAATTCCAGTAGACGAAAAAAAGGTATGGCCCTTATTTTTTCCACTATAATTATTATAAAACCAATTTGATCAATTTTATTTATGATTACATATATTTCCCTCCAAGTAGTATTTAGCTTTACTTTTGACAATAAAATATTTATGTTAAACCTTATGCACACTTGTTTCCTTGCATAAGTAAACTAACCTTTTATCCTACAATCTTGAGGAAGCTTAAGCATATAGTAATGCGTTTATGTGTGTGTGTAATGTGAGGTGTAAGGGGCCTTATTTGATTTGAGGTTTTTCAAGTCTCCTTTATCCCAACGGTTTTTACTGCTGATTCTCTCTCTTATATTCCCAATCAAAAAGAACAAATAATTTTTACTATACTAGTTCTACTCGTCCTATATCGCAAATTGTAATGAGGTACTGCTATTTAAATTTTGATTTGAAGAATTTCATTTCGTATATAAGTACATGTTGAAGAGATTCGTAGGGAGTCTCATCAGAAGACTTCGGCTGATTTGCATTGTACTCCAGCCGTTTGGCCTTAATGCGACGTTAAGGATGTCTTGTGGACTTCATCTACCTGAACGTCGTATTAAGGCCAAACGGCCGCAGTACAACCCGAATCAGCCGACGTCTTCTGGTGAGATTGACCTATGAATATCTTCAACATGTACATTAATACGAAATAAAAGTCTTTACATCAATCTTATCTCATGAGATTATTCGAAACTCGCATTTTCTTCGTATATTTGAATTTTTCCATAATCATATAAGTATTCCCACCTTTCCATTAAATTTCACATAGCCTTGCTTTAGAAAAGCTATTATCATCAAGGATGGATTGAAGTTTTGGCCTTTACTAGGTCTCCTCAACACTTCCAGTGATAATCTAACAAGAGTAGAGCAGCGTGTAATCTCAGAACGTTATCACTACGTCAGGAGTGCCTCTGAATCGCAAGGCTGACGTGAATTTATAGGAAGGCCAATACTTTTTCCTATCACATTTTTGTAGTGTAATTGTCGATGAAGCAAAGTCGCATTTGCTAGTACAATCGATTATATTGATTATTTTCTCCTTAAACTAGGTTTTTGATTCTTGTATTCTGTCACTTCAATTGGCTGCATTACTTATATTTGTATATAGTAAGTTTCGAGACTATCATTAAATCTGCTGAAAGAGTTATAGTTGAAGGACTTATAGTTTGATCTCCCATCATGATATGATTTTTCCACATTGACAACGTAGTCGATTTTATTGGCAAAACACAAGTCTTTCTCATCAATATTCCCACTAAAAATCTGATATAGTAGAGGTTTGGACTTTCTTTGAATTTACATTTGCCCTATGACTTAAGGTCATTCATGAGAGTATGACATTTTGTAAGGCGTCGAGACTATATTATGCACTATCTGAGTTCGATTTTTGCCAAGGGGCCTACTTAGACCTACGCGAGATCGTAAATGCAGTCCTTTCTTGGATGCTAATACCTTTTAGGAAGCAAGGCTAAGTAAACTGCAATGGAAAGCTGGGGCATATTCATATCATTGTAAGAAACTTTAACAATAAATCCTGCATTACTTTATGAGATCTAGGGTGAACCCAACTCTTATTCACAATTTACTAATAATTTTGAAATTCACTCGTAAGTACGAGTAAATAGTGCCATTTAATGCATCACTGCCTCTATTGTGAAACTTAAGCAAACTTTAAAAAATGATCAATTGATGTTGAGGGCTGACAAAGGAGAGGCATTGCTAGTGATAGGAAGATTGAAATATGTGGGAAAATGTTGGGGAGACTCATTTCGTATGAAGGTTAAGGAAAAAAGGCTTTTAAGATCGATATCACTATAAAAAAACGGCTGATTCCCGTTGTACTACAACCATTTGGCTTTAATACGACATTCAGGTTGACGCAGTCCACGATACATCCTTCTTCGTTTCGGATGAAAACGGCCTGAGCTTTCGTTCTTCATGTGACGAAGATCGTCAGAGCTGGGACTCGTTATTGTAAAAGCCTCAAGTTAAAATTAAGTTAACAAGATTAATCGGCTTTTTCTTTATTATATATATACACATTGCGAGCAAACTGTAAGATATAGATGAATATAGAAAGGTTTGGCTCAATACCCTATACTCTAGTCTGTCTCTATATGTATCTTAACGTATGTACGCATAACCATTCATAATTCGGAGTAATTAGAAAAGAGCTTAACATCATCCCCGGGTCTTCAGGCTTAATAACCCAATGAAAAAGAAAAGAAAATGATCGAGATTGCGTTAGTCCGTGAATAACCCTTGGCTAAATTGATGAAATGTTAGTCTGTACACGTGAAAGTCAAGTTACGAAACCACCAGTCCGAACTCGTTAACCTGGGTTATTAAGGTTTAATGATCCAAGGAGAAGCTTGGTTGCGATTGTGTAACCCTGAACGTTTGTTTTGCTAATGAGCTTTACATGTCTTTTGAATGAATGTTTACTTGGTTGGAACCATCACTCAGCTGACAAACTGAGTCGTCTTCTTTTGGACGGCAGCTCAGCACCCTCTCCTTTCAATCTTTAAATCAAGCATAATTAATTGAAATAATTAATTCCTACTCAACTTTATACCACAATTCCTCACTTTCAACATATTCCCTAATCTATTAATTTAAATAGCATCTCTTCGTAGCAGACCATAATCAGCAAACCCCTACGTACGATACCATTCTATCTCATGCCTACTCTCCATCATGTGTTCCGCCACTTCTGACCGTTTGACCCAAACGCCTTTACATACATTTTTGTGCTCCGATATTCTTTGGCGGATCGGCCGGCAGGTCTCGCTAACTTAGGGTCGACCACAGGAACACATAATCTTATAACAGTCTGATCTTGATGATGGGTCATATTTCTATCTAGAAGAGGTATAACCGAGGAAAGTGTCAAAGTTTCCTTGAAAACTGTCTATCGCTCACTTTCTCACTAGTTCTATCTTCTTGGAAAGAAAACATGACGGCAAGATCAGAACATAAGAAAGGGTCTCGGCTTTCCTCTCTCTAACCAAGTAGTCTCCGCCTGAAAATATATTCCTGATTAAAGATAAATTATTATCAATTAAGCCTAAAGGATTATTATTCTCCACGAATAAAACTTTCAGTCTCCTTAACTTTTCGGTCAGATTATTTCAATCTGCAAGCCTCATACCCTACTAATAATAGATTTAAAAATGCCAACCTTCGTTTTGTAGGTATAGTTAGAAAGAAAATTAAGAACAAAACCAGCATTTTGCTGGTTTCCTATAAACATCTCTGCCTAGCTTACTAACTTCCATAACAACCAGGTAATTAACAATTTTCTTCTAATTCAATGTGAATTTAATGTTTTTTTCACGCTGGTTAAGTGAAAATAAGAAACTATCTCAACTATTTTTACCATGCTGTCAGTTCACAAAATAATCATCTATATATCTAACAAACAATTTAGGAGTCTGTTCATAAAACTTACTATCACACGTGAAATACTTACTACTCATGAATAAGTTAAATAGCTTTAGAAAGGAGGCTATAGTCAACTTAATTCCCTTCATAATCCTCCAGGGTGAGCATTAGAGCCTGAATGGCTCCTTAAATTGGAATATTTATTCACATTGATACCACGTCACAACTTACTAATATACCTTCTGAAATATTCTGCCTGTCCACTAGTTTAACAAACTCATATGGGTTTTTTAACCGAAAATTATCAAAATTTTGTCACTTCTTAATTGCCTGCATAAAAAACGTGAGATTTTACACATAACATTACTCTTATTATTAACAATCAACTAAGGGAAACTCTTCTTTATGCACTTTTGGAAATCCGTAGAGAGTGTTCTAGCATCTCTTTTAAGTAGAGAATTCATTTTCAACTTCTTCATTTTCTCACTACCTACGCATACCTTCAAATAATCTCTTAGCCTAGTTTTAAGTCCCTCTGTAGGATCTTTCATTAAAGGCTTGTATCTAAGCATATTGCTTAAATACACAAGCATTTTCTTTAAATAACTTGACCTATCCAGGACTACCACTGCTCCCCTCTCGTCGGCTTTTATAATAATTAGATTATTACGAGCTAAATATCTAGATACTTTGTTCTGAATAAAGGATTTCCATGGCGTAACTACCTCGTAAAAGTGATGAATCACCACCAACTCTATACTATTTCTGACTTTTTCAGGTAGTCTATCTGATAAGCTAATTAGCTCAAACAGTATTTCAAGAGACTGATTCAGTAGTGCAAAATTAAATCCTCTTTCCAATAGATGTTTCACACCTATCCTCCAGCTCCGTACTCAATACATTAATTATCTTCTCTTTGCAAAATTTCATTTCCAATCTTTCCTATAGGAACAACAAGTGTAAGTAATGATAAGAGTTATTTGTGTTATTTATATGGGCCTAAGTAGAAGGAGAAAAAGTTAACATTAAGTGCCGTTGAAAAAAATGGCAATGCTTTAGTAGCCCAAATTATGGTCATCGTTCTCACCTCATGATTTGAAGAGTTCATACATATAATACACTTACAATCATATGCCTAAAATTTCTTCATTATTATTATATCAAATATTAGTTTATCTATGTATGGAGTAATCTGTGAGCACACCAGTATTCTCTTCCTGTGTCACTTCCGCTCACCTATAAAGAAGTAGGTAAGCATGAGATAGCCAACCAAGTCATGAGGTGTCTCATTAAGATTTTTTTAAATGAAAAAAATGAATATGTTTGAAACTGGCCACCTTTTCCTGTAGTTTAGGGTGCACTTTTTCGTAAAGTATGGCATCTCGCTCTGACGATATCTACCGCTGGTCAAAGACTCGATATGGGTTCATCGGAGACCAAGGTCGATAAGCCGAGGACTTCTTCGCAAAATTTGCGGATTACTTCCATTAAACTTTTACTTTTAAGTGAAAGTTTACTCTAAAATACCTCTTTTTTTATCATTTTATTATCATTGTCTTCTAAACCTCTCTTATTTGTTGAAACAGTCTATGTTTATTTGATTCCTTCTATACATAAATTTCAAGTGCATCTTTGTTTCTTGGTCGAGCGAACGGCAATGCCCTCTTGAGTTATCCTTGCTTGAGGCCCATTTGACCTTATTGAGCTACAGTACTCAGCCTGCCAAAGAGCTTTCATCTTCTGCCTCTTGGTTAAATCGACTCATAGATACTTGGTTCATCCCGGATGTGTCTGATCCAATACTGGCTGGCATAGAGTCGAATGACGCTATTCTTTATTATACCTCTCACCTTCCCGATCTTCATCCTCTTGATCAGTCTTTGGAGACTTCTGAAGTTGCTGAAAAGGAAGTTTGCACTGGCTCTCGTGAACATTCTAGTACAATTGAATTTGTGCGCACGACTATTGATGGGCAGGGGCAAAGTGTACCGCTAGCCCGATTGACGAGTCATTTCCGCCAATCCCTCATTCTTACGACCCAACCAAAATTGATTGCTGGAGGTATGTCGTCATTTGTGTTTTGGCTTGCATACATGTGTTAATTCAGACTTGGTGTATTTTTCACATACCTAGTATGTTTTTTTGTCTTGACTTTAGTGCCGTCTAATACGGACTTTAATTTTTGGAATGGATTCTGCAAGCTGTACTAGATTTCTTATTTATTTTCTTAGAGCAGGTTGTTTAAGTACCCTATTTTTTGTATATAAATGAATTCATTTAAGAATTCTGTTTTTAATAAAAAATCTTTCTATAAATGGACTGAGGTTCCACATATAGTACATATTTACTTGATTAAAGCTCAAGCGAACGTAAGCATAATCCCTCTTTACCTACAATTCACGAGCTTATTTCCACTGAAGATCATTAAAGTCTATATCAGGATACTGGATTTAACGTCTCTAATAAACGAATTTTTTTATTTATCTTGTGTAAAAGTGTTTGATGAAGTGGTCCACAAGTTGATCTCACTGGGAGACGAATATTGATTTGTAGCTTGATTTTGTTATTACATTCACTACTCCAGACAATCTCTCATTTTATGACACAACTTTCCATTTTGAAGTAAAATTTGGTTGAAAGATGTTAGTGTATTGGCCTCATCGAAAAACGAAGGATGATTGCCGAATAGTGTAGACTATTGGATTGTGCAAAGAAGTCTTTGGCTCATCGTCCTGCAACCCAGATGAACCTATGCTCAGCTCTAATATCATATATGATATAAATAGTCAGAATGAGAAAACATAGTTTTCGATAAAGCGCAAGAAATATAATATGACAAGAAAATAAGTATGAACCAGTGCAATCACGCTCATATCTCGTACCTAACCTTGCGATTGTAATGATGCATCTCATGATTTAAAGTGGTCTAACCTCGTCTTCGCAACTTGGTCATGTTGTCAGGGCAACCCAGTTGGACACACTTTGTCCGAAGTCATCTGCTTTAGTCGTAATCTTAAATCCCAGCGCATGAGTGTGGACTCGATACATCCTCAAACGTTTCGCCGACATCGTCAGTGAGTATTCCCACTCAGCACCAAGTTATAACTCGTCAAATAGACAAGCGAAATCAATCCCTTGATTTACTTTCTGTCGAACGGTTGTGCGATAGCACAGCTATCTACTCCATACCCTCTTATCTCATTCTAGCTCTATCAAAATTTTTGATTGGTTTATATTCGACTCCTTTATGGGTGTGCCTTTATTGGCGAGTTTAATGTGACGTCACCGCACTTACTGCCTGCCTTGTCACTCCTCCCTCTCGATTTGTGATCCGATTTGGGCCCCCTATCTCGAACTCCATCATGGGCCCATAGACCAGTTTCTTATCTTACTAGTTGACTAATTTCACTTCCAGCCCAAGTATACGTTTCATTTCAGGTGATATTTCTCAAGTCTTTAGTAGTACGTGAAATGTCGCCTTATCGGCCAAGACGCCCATAACGTAATTCCTACGCTTGCAGATATCAGGCATTATCTCCACGGCTCATCTCCCTGACTCAACTCGTATTAAAGTAGGACTAAACTATTAATATCAATGGGGCATTAGGTGACATGCTGAAAGATATGCATGATAAATTTATTAATAAGAAAGGATACACGTCCACCAACAGAGTACGACCTACCGAAGGAGAACCACTAAGACTGATAGTATGGAGCAACACACAAATGGATAAAGTTCATGGTTGAAACTCATGGAATTAATTGATAGGCTATCAAAAACATTGAAGCATTCATTTAAATTTTCTCAAAGGATCAAAAACACGGCACTGAGATAAATAGAATTATCGGTAAGTTTTGATGTACGATATATCCACAAAAACAGATGTGGAGAAGAGGTGATAACGGCCCTGCTGGAGATCATGGACCGACAGGAGGATATCCTCAAGACGTTTCCAGGGCGTGTGCTCTTTTCGAAGAAACTACTAAAACTTTAGGGGGCTGTTGGTCACAGAGCTAAGAAGACGGATAATCACAACCATCATAGAAATTCGACATTATGGCTATATTGACTGGAATTCCACTCTAGGTGCACCCGGCGACGAGAGATAAACATTCACAGTTTGTCCATGGTACACGGATTAAATTAGGTGACCCGTAGATACAATGTTTGCTACCTGCAAGCATGGGAAACGTATACATGGATTTGAACCGAGTTAAACAGTAAAGATAAGAAATGAATCTAAAAACCCATGGAGGAGATCCGGATCGGAGGCCCAAGTCGGATCAGCAATCGATAGGAAGGGGTGCAAGGTGAACAGCAGATTTGATGACACCATAGCAAACTTGGCAAAAAAGACGCATCTAAGAGGTGTTTAATATAAACCAGTCGAGTTAAAGACTTAGTCTTTAATTTTGCTCTAACTGTTTTATTTTGTGGGATATGTTTTTTTAAATATATAACGATTGTCTTTACTATTTAACTAGCTTTACATGGACTTGGGCTTCCAGAACTTTGTAATTTGCTTGCGCATATTTCTCCTTTGAGAATGACTACATTCGAACTCAAAATGCTGCTACGATTTGCCGACCGGCTGTCTAGAACTTCAATTATCAAACATCCTCCCTCAATAAAAAATATGTATTATGTAATAAATAGATTTTATATACGACTTAGAGCCTTGGTTAGTATACATACTTTCTTTATTCATTATAGATTTTTACATATTATTTTTGCATTTTCTATGTTGCATGTGGTAGCTTTAATCCGATATTTTTATAATCTAGATTGATTTTATAAAAAATATTTATTCTTACTATTATTTCAATTTTTGGACTTACCGCTTAGTTTGTATTTTTAATATCTTTACCGTAGTTATTCTTGTGAATGCTTACTATCTTCCATATCATTTAAGAATAACTATGGCGTATCTTTAAGCTGTTGTTAATTAATGTAATATTTTTTTCAGTTGCTGATTTAATGGCTCACTCGATGCTTATCACCACCTATAATGAACTCATATTATATTATTGATTATTTTGCCTAATATTGACTGCTTAGGAAAATTTTACACTTTAAAGACACAAGTTTCACAACAAATCGTGATTGAATTTATCAAAAAAAATTCCATTGAAGCTAACATGAGCTATTTCTTAAGCTAAAATAAGTAAAGTGGTTATTTGATCTTGTTTTCGCAACATGGTCATATTGGTAGGAAGACTTATTGGAACGCACCTAGTCCGGGGTCC